GATTTTACTTAATAATGGCCCTAAAACACAAGAGTAGTGATGCTGGCACATGATGATAACTGTTCTAGTTTATTATTAGCTATTGTTTTTACTCCCTTACTATGCTTAATTTATAAACTTTATCATACTTATGTATGTATAAGAAAAGCATAATTATCTATAGGGTAAGGTAATATCTGAGGTTTCAGGCAGCCACTGGGGGGCTTGGAATGTATGCCCCTCAGATCGGGGTGACTACAGTAGTTCAAAGTTTCACAGAGACAGAAGTAAGATGGTAGCAATGGAAATAAAATGCAGAAGGCTAGGCATTGTGGCTCATGCCTATAATTCCTGCACTTTGGGAGGCTGAGATGGGAGGATTGCTTGAACTCAGGAGTTCAAGACTAGCCTGGGCAACATAGTGGGATCTCACTTACACAAAAATTTTTTAAATTAGCCAGGTGTGGTGGCATATGCCCATAGTCCCAGCTACCCAGGAGGCTAAGGTGGGAGGACTGCCTGAGCCCAGGAGGTCAAGGCTGCAGTGAGCTATAATCATGGCACTCTAGCCTGGGCAACAGAGCAAGACCCTGTCTCCAAAAAAAAGAAAGAAAGCAGAGGTTTCGTGTGGGTAAGATGCAGGATAAATAGGGAACAAAAATAAAAAAAGAAAAAACAAAAGAGAGAGAGAATGTGTGTGTTGATCCTGTATGATTGAATGATAATGCCTTTATTTATAGAATTAAGGAAGTTAAAAAGAGAACTGACTATTGTCTTGGATATATTGAATTTTTTAAGTGCTAGGGAAATCCAGCAGAAATGAAGTCCTAATCTAGTTTATTATCTACCATAAAATTTAGCCTCCAGATGATTTTTCTTAAATCAAACTTCCATGAGAGGCAAGGCTCACATTTTTTTCTTCAGTTATTCATTTTTTTCTATTTTCCTCCCCTCATCTTTGCCTTATTGGTCATTGAAAAATGATTTTTGTTTTTGTTTTTGAGACAGAATCTCACTCTGTCACCAAGGCTGGAGTGCAGTGGCGCAATCTCGGCTCACGGCAACCTCCGCCTCCCGGGTTCAAGCAATTCTCCTGCCTCAGTCTCCCGAGTAGCTGGGATTACAGGTGCATGCCACCACACCCTGCTAAGTTTTCTATTTTTAGTTGAGATGCAGTTTCGCCACGTTGGCCAGACTTGTCTCCAACTCCTGACCTCAAGTGATTCACCCACCTTGGCCTCCAAAACTGCTGGGATTACAGGCGTGAGCCACCACACCCAGCTAAAAAATGGTGATAAAACTTTTAGATATTTTAGAAACTGAAGCACTTGGAGGATCAAGAAATTTAAAAAGGCTTTACAAACTTCATATATAATAAATAACATGTGGAAAATTAAATGTTGGACAAATATGAACAAAATACAGTCTTTCAATGATCATATGGCTAGAACAAGACGAGGGAAAGTGCAACTTCTTTTTTTTTTTTTTATTTTTTTTGGTAGCGAGAGGGGGTCTTTCTCTTTTGCCCGGGCTGGAGTGCAATGGCCGGATCTCGGCTCACTGCAACCTCTGCCTCCCGGGTTTACGCCATTCTCCTGCCTCAGCCTCCTAAGTGACTGGGACTACAGGCGCCCGCCACCACGCCCGGCTAATTTTTTGTATTTTTTAGTAGAGACAGGGTTTCACCGTGTTAGCCAGGTTGGTCTCGATCTCCTGACCTCGTGATCCGCCCGTCTCGGCCTCCCAAAGTGCTGGGATTACAGGCTTGAGCCACCGCGCCCGGCCCTCAACTTCATTTTTTTAAAGGCAACTACTTTGAAACTGCAGAAAGAAAAAGACAAATATTAAAGTATTAATTATACAAGCATTTTGGTAAAAACAAATATAATGGAAAATATGTTTTCTAAATCAAACATTTTTTTTTTTTTTTTTTCTTTGAGACGGAGTCTTGCTCTATCGCCCAGGCTGGAGTACAGTGGCCGGATCTCAGCTCACTGCAAGCTCCGCCTCCCGGGTTTACGCCATTCTCCTGCCTCAGCCTCCCAAGTAGCTGAGACTACAGGCGCCCGCCACCTCACCCGGCTAGTTTTTTGTATTTTTAGTAGAGACGGGGTTTCACCGTGTTAGCCAGGATGGTCTTGATCTCCTGACCTCGTGATCCGCCCGTCTCGGCCTGCCAAAGTGCTGGGATTACAGGCTTGAGCCACCGCAAAATGCTGATTCTTATTTTCTCTAAAGATGTTAATTCTCTGTTTAAAAAAATAATGATTCTGAAAACATGGTTAAGTCTTGATAGCTTACCAAAGGAAGCTAAGAAGCTACTTACTAACTTCCACTCTTTAGGAGACACTGTTACATCCCAGATTCTTTTCAAAGGACACTTACGTTTTTTACATTGGGAAGCTTTACCCTAACTGAAGTGAAAACAAATTCCTATAATACAATAAAAAACAGCTATAAACATTCTAAAACACGAAGGATTATATAGACAAAGGTTAAAAAAAAAATCATAGGAAAAAAAATCCAAAACGTTCACAAAAGTTTGTAAGTACTACACGTTCACTTAAGTATCAAGAATAAAGTCACATGACATTAATGAAAATGTACTAAGAAGTTTACTTAAAAATCACCTACTGAAAAGATGAAATTATCTAGCAAAATTGACATTCAAATTATGTAATAACATAATTTCAACCTGTACTATAAACCTATAGTAAAGAATCACCAGACTTTAATGAGGCAGTTTTGAGTAGTAATATGTGTTGTTCTTACGCTCAAAATTTAGTTCTAAAAAACTGAATTTTTTCATATGAACTTAAGGCTCTTTCACCAAATATAGAAGTATGATATTAAACTTAAAAGCATTCAGTATTTTCAGCATAAAAGGTTCTATCCACTGAAGCCTGGGGAAAAACTTCCACTACCACACATTGTTTACAATATGCTGGATGACCAAAAAAAAAAAAAAAGACTAGGAAATAATGTATTTAAATTCAAAAATCCATAAATACTGAAGGTATACTGCAATATTACTAATCAAATAAACAGAAATAGCTCCAGCTACATTTTGAGTGTCTCTCAAAAACCTCAACAAGAGCAAAAAATGAATACATGACTACAGTAATTTTGAGTAGCATACCCTCAAATTGAAAAGACTATTTGCTATATATTTATAAAAGAATATTTCCTATAGGAATTTTTTTTAAGTGTGGAAAGAAGTAAGCTATAGCTATATTTTCCATAATTCTCAAAGACTTTTCATTTTGCTGATCAACTCAGTTCTTACTAGTTCAATAATGATAATAAACACTTTCCCTTGTCATAGATTTTTATTTATTTAAGAGATGGGGTCTTGCTCTGTCACCTAGGCTGGAGTGCAGTGGCGCAATTACAGATCACAGCAGCCTCAACCTCTGATCCTCCCACTCAGTCTCCCTAGTAGCTGGAACCACAGGTGTGAGCCACCATGCCCGGCTAAATTTTTGTTTGTTTGTTTTTTGTAGAGACAGGATCTCCCTGTGTTACCTTGGGTGGTCTCAAACTCCTGGGCTCAAGTGATCCTCCTGCCTTGGTCTCCCAAAGTGCTGGGATTACAGGCATGAATTATTGTTTTTTTTTTAAGCAGCAAACGTTTATTAACTCACGCAGTTTCTGAGGATTAGAATCTGAAAGTGTCTCAGGTAGGTGGTTCTGGCTCAGAGTCTCTCATGAGTTGCAATCAAGCAGTCATCTGGATATATGTTACTTTTTAAAGTCATAAAGCATATAAAAAAAATTGGCTGCCCCCAACCAAAGTGAAATTTAAATTCCACGATCACAGCTAACTCGGATCTGTAATATTCATTTACTGTGAAAAACCAATAACTTATTGTTGCCATATTTTTAATGCACTTTTTAGAAGTAAAATACCTTCAAAAATTGTCTAAATTATACAAACTTCCCTTCTAGTATTACATCTAAAGATATTTGAAGCCCCACATAATTGAGTTCAATTTGCTAAAGCAAATGAGGTCTAACCTCATGAAGATTTCCTGAAGTATTAAAATAATCAGCACTTAAAATCAAAAGAAGATACAAAAAACTGAAGTCATATATAATGCAGTAGAGAATTTACTAAATTATGTATTAACCATAGTACAAGATAATGAGCAAGATATATTATTCTCAGTCAGCCCCCTACCAATGTACAAATTTGCATCAACTTGACATTACATATTAAATTAATGAAGTTATGGACTTTAATTTCTTCTACGTGTCTAAAACTGGAAGAGGGGAAAAAGCATTTCCTAACATTCTATCATAAAAGAAAAATGTTAGAGAAACTTTCCTTTAAAACCATGCTTCATATGTCCCTTTCCGAGTCTTGATAAAATGTTATCATATAGGAAAACATAAGCTTCTAAATCAAAGATTTCCTTCAATGTTTTCAATTTGCATAGATCACAATATAACATACACTTATTATCTGAAACTTTTTTGACTTCAGACAAATGCCTCAAGATTAGTCATATTAAGCTGTATTTGTCATCATTACTGCTTCTTTCTTTAAAAAAAAAAAAAAAGGAAAGAAAGCCAGCAATACATAGCATTCAATTCCCTCGATAAGTTAAAATCATTTTCCCCCTCTATGCCCAAATGGACGTTATTCTATTCTATTTAGCCAAAAGTACACAGCCAACATATCTTTGTGGTATACTGTGGCAAATCAGGGTTTAGATACCAATGCAACTGTTATGAATGGCTCAGAACCAAACATTGTAACAAAACACACTGAGTGGATCCTCCCTCTGCGTGTGTGTGTCTACATGTGCCCATTCATAACATGACCCTCCTACACACACAGAAACTCAATTTCTACTGAATAACAAAACATCTTCACATTATTAAAAGTGTATAATAAAACTGTCCTCTTTAGGTTCAAAGAAAGAACAAGTTCTAAAGTGATGAGAGAGAAGAGTTAATACCATCATTGCTGCTACCCATCAACTTTAATTCAAAGTACAACTCAATGTCATTTTTACCTCTACTGTAGCCTCGACGGAAACAAAATTAACTTCGCCGTAGGATAAAGTATCCTGGCATCCCAATGGATTATTTACTTCTCTGATTTGACAGAACACATACGTGGGTCTTTTGTCCCTCCCACAGCATCCCAGGGTGTCAACATCATCTCTGTTAAAGCAAATGACGAGCAAATCCCTCAGATCACTACTTCAGCACCCTAAGTACAAGAAAGTCGCGGCCTTCACTGTCGTTACAACACAGCAAACAGATTCCGCAGTCCCATATTCCTTTCCATTATAGTTGGGGAGGTGGGTGGGAAATAAGCGCTCAGATTTCCTAGGAATCCTTCGTGTTCGGTGCTGGTACCAGGAGTGGCATAAGTACAAGTGATATGTGGGTCACCCACAGAGAGAGACGCAGAACGAAGCTTCATGACCCTCCAAGTTCAGTGAAGACACCCAAAGCCTCGGGCAAAACGGGGCGGCAGCCTTCGGGGAAATGGGGCAGAACCAGAACGATCTCCGAGATGGAGTGACGGGGTCTGGCACGGGCCCGGGGCTAGCAGCGACCTGAGAGTCCCCGGTACCCCTCCCCTCCTCAGCAGGCTCGGTCACTCGGCGAGGGGTGCGGCCGGAGGAGGGGGTCGGGACTGGGGGAGGGCGGCGCCCTGGGGGGTCGGGGGGTGTGTCCTACCTGGGCCGTGGCGGACGCAGGGGTTTCTGGAGGATGGCTCTGGTCCAGCTCAGGACCGGGACGGGCGGGGGTTAACCCTCAGCAGGCGGGACCGCCACTGCCTGCCCATCCCCCGCCGCCGACTGCGGCGGGACCCGAGCGCGGCTTCCAGGGCCGGCCGGCTGGGTAGTTCCCTGGGGTACCGTCCGCGTTTACTGGCGGCGGCGGCGGCTGCTGCTGTTACTGCTGCTGCCGGCTCCCCCAAGCCGCTGCTCTTGTGCCAGCACCTGCTCCCCCTCCTGCCGCCGCCGCCGCCTCGTCCCCACCGCTCCCATCGCCGCTGCGGCGACTACTGCAGCGCCCGCTGACCCGACCCGACGTTATTCTCCCCCCTCGTAACCCGACACAGCCTAGCCCACCTGCCCTGCCAGCGCGCACGCCCACCTCTCCGCTACAGGTGCTGATTGGAGAGTGCGTTCCGAACTCGCAGCGTCGGTTGGCTAATCCCATTGCCTATCACGAAGGGGGCGGAGAGTCGGTCAGAAACCGTCTCCGCCCCCCACCGGAGAATTGCCGCTATCTTCAGGTTTGCCTGAGAGGGCGAGTTACCGGGAAAGGAGCATCACAAAGGCAGCGCGCATGCGCCTAGGAATTCTGGGCCTCGTAGTTCCAGGCACAGCCGCAACTCCCCGCCTGTCCCGAGGAGAGAAGTAGGGCTTCCGAGACAAGTAGTTTGCGCACATAGGTGTTTTCCTAGCGTGACAGTTAAATTGATTATAGAGGGATGGTTGGGACCCCAGGGTTGGGCTTTTCGGAATAAAATCGGAAATGCTTTGTCACGATACGAAATTACACACTGAGGCAGTCGCGATGAAGGGCCCAAATCGTGAGGCCCTGCAAGCCTTAAGGATCCATCCTCTTCCTCAGCGTCAGCGCTGCCAGGATCCCGCAAATTGGCGCCGTCCCCAGAACCGCCTAACGTGAAGCTAATCATCTTTAGGGGACCGGGGAAGGGCCTTAGGTGTGACGAGGAAAGGAGATGGGCACTTCCATAAATGAATGTCAGCCTAGAGACCGGAGTGTCCTTACGGTTTCACAACCCAAGAGCAAGATTTCATTCCCTCTGTGAAACACCACCAGCTAAAGACTCAGTGAGCAGCCCCAGTGCACACCAGTGTGCGATGCTAAGCAAGTGTATGTGGGAGGTGCTTAAAGCCTTTCAAAGAAAAGCGAGGAGGGCGGAGCAAGGACGCTGTGCAGGATGCGTTGCTATTTAGTGTGGTGTCAGCCGCTTTGGTGAAGGAAAACCTTAAGATTAAGCACCTCTCCCATCTTTGCCCACCAATGTACAGTAGAGAAAACCCATTAAAAACGCTAAACAGCTTTCTTAAGGTTATAAAACTAATTAGTGGCAAAATGAAAACTCAGGTCTCTCATACGCCCCACATCTAATGTCCTTTCTACTTAAGAATCACAATGATCCCCAGGGCTCTGCCATGGATGGAAAGAATGCAATGAATTATGAACTTCATCTTTACTTTAAATCCTTTTCTTCACTCAAGTGACATTGTCATTAAAGCTGAGTAAGAATATAGAAAGGTGAATGACTAATCCTATATTCAGCTTGGAACTGTTCCTATAGAATCTGTTTCTTCTTATTCAGGAAGTGCCACAGCCTCTTGCCATTCTTTTTAAAAACAGCAGGCGTCTCTACTATCTGTCATGTCCAGATCCTTGGATTAAAAGCAGGACAAAATGTATATTAAAGGCAAGTGATGATGCAGCTCATCTTGTTCTATGCAAACATAAAGATGCTGCCAAATTGTTTTTTATTTCTACTGATTAAAACCATAAGTTACTTTTTCCATTACTATGTCTAATAGACTATTTCATTCATTTCAGAATATTGGCCAATCATGTAATTTGAATAAGAAAACATTAGGGTTTCTGTAAATATTTTTCTTTAAAATTAAAGAAGTTTATAGGAGCCAGGCACAGTGGCTAATGCCTGCAATCCCAGCACTTTGAGAGGCTGAGGTGGGAGGATCACTTGAGTCCAGGAGTTCAAGACCAGCCTGGGCAACATAACAAGACCTTGTCTCTACACACAAAAAATTTTTGATTAGCCAGCCCTGTCTCTACTAAAAATACAAAAATTAGCCAGGTGTGGTGGTGTGCACCTGTAGTCCCAGTCACTTGGGAGGCTGAGGCAGGAGGATTTCTTGAGTCCTGGATGTCAAGGCTGCAGTGAGCTATTATCACATCACTGCACTCCAGTCTGGGAAACAGTGATACCCTGTCTTTAAAAAGAAAAAAAAAAGTTTATAGGGGAAAAATGTCCAGATTCACTGAAATTAGGCTTAGCAACAAAAGTTTCCCCTTTTCTCTAGTCTTTTCCATTTAAGAATTATTGAGGCCGGGCGCGGTGGCTCAAGCCTGTAATCCCAGCACTTTGGGAGGCCGAGACGGGCGGATCACGAGGTCAGGAGATCGAGACCATCCTGGCTAACACGGTGAAACCCAGTCTCTACTAAAAAATACAAAAAACTAGCCGGGCGTGGTGGCGGCGCCTGTAGTCCCAGCTACTCGGGAGGCTGAGGCAGGAGAATGGCGTAAACCCGGGAGGCGGAGCTTGCAGTGAGCTGAGATCTGGCAACTACACTCCAGCCTGGGTGACAGAGCCAGACTCCGTCTCAAAAAAAAAAAAAAAAAAAAAAAGAATTATTGAGCTGTCCCCAGAGACACTCTTTCAGTCAGGCTAAATGTCAATGTAATATGTTATTCAAGAGCTGGTACTGGAGTTTAGGAATCCCCTTTGAGATATAGATATAGACAGATCTGAATTATATATATATAAAACTCAGATATATATGTATATATCTCTTTTAAGAAATAAGCTGGGCCGGGCGCGGTGGCTCAAGCCTGTAATCCCAGCACTTTGGGAGGCCAAGGCAGGAGGATTCCTTGAGCCCTAGAGTTGGAGACCAGCCCTAGCAACATAGTGAGACTCTATCGCTACAAAAAATATATATTTTTAATTAGCTGGCCCCTGTAGTCCCAGCCACCCAGGAGGCTAAGGCAGGAGGATTGCTTGAGCCCAAGAGGTCGAGGCTGCAGTGAGCTATGATTGCACCACTGCACTCCAGCCTGGGTGACAACACAAGGCTCTGTCTCTAATAAATAAATGTGGTAGCCAGCCTTCCAGATGGCCCCAATGATCCCTACCTCACTTACTCTCGTTCTTATTTATTCCTGTCTATACTGAATTGGACTGACCTGTGTAACTAATAGGATTTTCCAGAAATTACGGTGTGGGAATATCAAGGCCAGGTTATAACAGACATTGTAGCTTCTGCCTTATGCCTTCTTGGATCACTTATTTCGAGAGAAGCCAGTTGTCCTTTCCCGAATATACTCTAGCAGTTCCATGCAGTGGTCCCCTGGCGAGGAACTGAAGCATCACATCAATAATCAGCACCGGTTTGCCATCTATGTTAGTGAGCCATTCTTAGAAATGAATCCTCCAGCCCCAGTCAAGCTTTCAGATGACTGAAAGCCCAGCTGGCTTCTTAACCACCACCTTGTGAGACACTCCAAGTCAGAACCACCCAGCTAAGTCACTTCCAAAATGGAGACCCACAGAAACTATGTGATATAGTAAATGTTTACTATTGCTTTAAGCACTAATTTTTGGGATAATTGGTCATGCAGCAAGAGATAACTAATACAGTAAGACGTGGGAAAATAAGAGACAGGAATAACTCAAGTCTAAGGATGTGTCCCTGGATAAGTCTAAAGGAATCAGACAGATTCTGGATCGGTCTTACAGCATATGCAAAGATATGATGTCCAAAGTTCAGATTTACACTGAAAAGTCCTCACACAGGACATAAAGCCCCTTTCAACACAGCTTCTTTTCTCCTAGCATGAAATAAATAACATATTGAAGAATCTCTTCTATTCCTTTCCTTTCATTTATGTCCTCTTCTGCCTATCTTTAGGTACCACTTTGTAACCTTCTTCCCAGAATCCAAACAGAAAAGGATCTAAATGTGTCATTTACATCAAATTGTTATCGGGACAGCACCCCAGTGTGAATCCGTGTTCAACTCAAGGAAAAGAGACCTCTGCCCTTTTCTCTTTCTATCTCTCTCTTTAAAAACACATCTCAGAGTTGCACACGAGAAGTGGGTAAATTATATGATATGTTAATTATATCTCAATAAATCTCTTTTTAAAAACTCAGTCCACAGTGCTTTGAAACATGAAACTCAATCATGAACTGGTGCTCAAGCACTTTGGAAAACCAGCAAGCAGCCTTGTTTTTCAGTTTTTCATCAAATCAGTTTCTATTTGAACGTTACTTAAACCACAAACAAAATCCCCGTAAACAAGATTTTTTGCTTTTTTGTGAGACGGTCTTGCTCTGTCACCCAGGCTGGAGTGCAGTGGCACGATCTCGGCTCATTGCAACCTCCGCCTCCCAAGTTCACGCCATTCTCCTGCCTCAGCTCCTGGAGTAGCTGGGTCTACAGGTGCCCGCCACCTCGCCTGGCTAATTTTTTGTATTTTTAGTAGAGACGGGGTTTCACCGTGTTAGCCAGGATGATCTTGATCTCCTGACCTCATGATCTGCCCGCCTCGGCCTCTCAAAGTGCTGGGATTACAGGCTTGAACCACCACGCCCGTGCCCTCGTGCCCAGCCCCCAAAAACAAGTTTTTATAGAGCCTACTAATGCCATCTACTCTGATAGGCACTGGGAAAACAAATTTGAATAAATTCAGTCCTGTCCCTCAGGGTTTCACAATGTAATGATTAACAAACATGCAAATCTTACTATAATACATTGTAATAACTGCTGTAAGAGAGGTATACAGCATATAAAGATACTCAAAAGCCACATCCTTGGGGTTCTCTGAGAGCTTCATTTCTTTAAGCCAGTGTCAGCTGCATTCATATTTTGACAGAAAGGCATTCACATCACATAT